TGCTTTGCTAACATCTAGCTCGCTCTCCATCTTTTCTGCCGTCGCCTCGCCGCGGCGTTTGCTTAGGAGGCTATAGCTGCTACTGGTATTGCTGCTGGTGCAGTTATTGTGTCGCCCCTTGGTGTATGATGTGTATGATGGATAATGATGCTGCGGTTGCTGGTTTCTTGTGTGTGGTGGGGGTTGGAGACGCATAGGCGGTCGAAGTGGTTGATGGAATTTCGGAAATTTCGGAAATTTCGGAATGTTCCTTGCACCGCCGGAGGTATTGTGAAGTTGATGTTGATATGGGTGTTGGTGATGGTATGGATATGAATATAAGCGTGACTTGCTACCATTTGCTCCTCCACTAATAGACATGTCGTTGCACCTCTCGCTTGGATCTTGCCCTTGAAAATTATTATTATGTGGCGCGGACCTCCCAGTCATTGGCGGGTATTTCAACGGTATTGACAATGGCTTTGGATAGGCATTTGGATCCGGTGATGTTGACCGTTCCCTGACGGGACTTAGGCGAGCGCTGGAACGCTTCGTAGCGGAGCCTCCATTCCTGTTCCTACTCCCCACGTTTGATTCCACAGATTCAGAGCCTGTAACTGACCCAGTGAGCGTTCGATCGTTCGATCGTCGTCGACTTTGATCGATCGGTCCTTCGTGCCGCCAGGCGCCAGCGCCTGCTTGTGAGTAGAAATTCAAGTGGCCGCTGGGCGCTATCCCATTGGGCCGCATGGGTGATCCGTAATCCATGCGTTGGTATGTAACCTTTGGAGGAGACATGGTCATATTCGTTCGAGCGTGGCACGAGCTGCTGCTAGCGGGCGTGACTAGTCTTAATGTTGGAGGCTGCCGCTGTCGCTGCCGTTGTTGCTGCTGTGGTTGTTGCTGTCTCCCATTATTCTGGTGCGCTGCGTATTGAGGACCATACTGTTTATTTTGTGATTGATTCCTATTAGCATTCACGGGCATTCTATCATATCTACCGCTTGGATGTGTGGGTGGCCGCTGGGTATTTGCCGCAGCAAGGGTTCTCCTATCTTCATTATCTTCTTCGAAGAATAAGGTGGCCGCGCTTTCCGGTCGGCGTCTTGTGGGTTCCGCAATCGGATCCTGAGATGAAAATGCCTCGTAATTGGGTTTTTCCGGTAGTAACTGCGAGAGTCTACGGGGTGATTTGGAGTTTGGCGGCGCATTGGGAGTGGACAGACTCGCATCATCGCTGTCCCTTTGGCTGTAAGCGGGATAGGAGAACGGAGCGTTTCTAGCATCGGAAGCAGTACCGGCTGGTTGGCTTGCATTGTTTGCTGGAAGGGTAAGCCGTCGGGCAACTGGTTCGTTGTATATGCCAATGGGCGATCTGAGAGCACGGTCACCCCGATAGCCCACCAGGAAGTCGAGTGGAGAGGGCTCAGACATCTGCCCGCCGATCTCAAATCCGCTCTCATGAGCTGTCATCACCTTGTTTCGACGACGCTTTAGGCAAAATATTATGATCAAGGCCAACAACAGTGCCCCTGCAGCTGCGCCTCCAATGGAAATCCCTATTACCTGTGCACTCGTCATGGGATGTGCATCCTCGACTGGTGGAGGCTCAGATGGCTCGGGTGGAAGTCCAGTTGGCTGTGGAAAGAAGAAAGTGCTGGTAGAGACTAAAGTGCTAGATGGTAAAGGAGTGGAGTGAAGAGCGATGCTGGTACTTGAAGTAATAGGTTTCACCATAGTGGACGACAGGGAGATGCTCGAGTTTGAAGTTGGAGAGGGAGTGGGTTCGGCGAGTGTTGGTGAATGAGTTCGCTGCGCTTCTGTGGTGGTGGTGGTGGTGGTGGTGGTTGTCGCTGTAATGGTGATAACAGTATGTGTATTAGGAAGGGCATTCCGGATGCCAGAGCAGATGGTATATACCTGGAGCTCCCGGATGCCAGGATTTGAACAAAATCTGTACACACAACGCAGCGCACCTTCACCAAGCGTAAACCCCGCCGTAGACCGTCTCGTACATAGACAGGATAAATCGCGGGCGTTCTGGCAGGCCGCAGTGGGGAAATCCGACTCAATGAATGAGGCCAAGCAGCCCTGTGCGCAGTCAGGGACAACATTACCGGCAGTTATATTTGTGGCACGGGGTGGGATGTTTTCTGCCCGACAGAATGGAATTGGTACAGCAACTGCAAGGTGTAGAACGATTGCTAACAGAGTGTGAAAATGGCGCGACATGCTGTGGCAGCTCTGAATGAGAAAAAAGAAAGTGAGCTAGGTATCCCGGCATTAAACGTCACTGTATGTTGTATATATTATGGATACACAAAATGGAGAGCGGATATAGTTAGAGGCAATGGTTGAAAGGGCTATGGCAACAATGTCATGATAAAAATAAGGATTAGAGACCACCAAGTCTCACAGAAGCGACATCCAAAAAGAGCATTGCGTTCCCATAGGGACATACCAATTCAAACCAGTCCAAGCTGTCCGGCAACGATCCTTCTGGATTCACCTAGGTCGGCTCATCATCATGCTACAACCAGTCGCACAGGAATAGGAACCGGCTTTCCCCACGACGGAATATCGGAATGGATAAATAAGCAATGTGAAATCCCAAGAATGAAATGATAGGAAATACTGGAAATATATGAGCATACAAGGGCGTAGAAACCCTGCTGATGCAAAATCGTACCGCAGAAAAACTGCGTATCGAAGAGAATCAAGCAAGAATGGAAACAAAACAAGGGAGGGAAACAGAACAAACAGGAAAGAAAGCAAAGGCGGGCAAGCACAAGAAAAAATAATATAGAAAAGCAAATAATAAACAACTATCATGAAGAAGACCCCACCCCCTCCAGATAGGAAGCGCGCGAGGGCGAGGGGGAACGCGATGTTTGAAGAACCCAGCAGCGAACCGCCACCCTTCTTCAGAAAAGAGTGGATATTTGAACAGTGCCAGTTAAAAGAATTGTTACCCGAACACAGTCAGGATCCAAGAAGAAAAGAGAGAGAATAAAACAACAAGAGAAAAAAAAAAAAAAAAAGAAGAAGAAGAAGGAAAGCAAGCCCGGAAGGAGAGGCAGTGGATATCTGCATCTCCAAAACTGCAGCAAACACTTCCCTCCCCCCACAAGAGCCACCTCCAGGCATTCAGCAAATGAAACTCTGGGCTTCTACATGCCGCCAGCAATCTGAGTCGACAGGAGGGAGAGAGAGAGCAGGCGCAAAGAACACGAGCATGGCACGGGTGCTTTCAACTGCCCATCCTAGTTGTGGAGGCCACCGGGCCATCACAAAACATAAAATCACCCTCTCCATCCCATAATCGCCATCGCTATCGCCCTATAGGAAGGTAGCATGCCGGCCATCAGCGACTCAAGCCAGCAGAGACAGGAGCCACCAGCAGCAGCAGGAGGAGGAGGAGGAGGAGGAGGAGGAGCAGAGGCCTAGCGCCGTGCTGAAACGCCGCAGATACAGCAACGCCGCGCTGCATCGTTGGCTGCGAGTGGCCTTGCACTGCGTGCATTTTAAGCGCCGTGGTATATTGGAATCCCCAGATCCAACGTTCCAGGATGCCAGAAGCCTCGTTTCAGGGTGTGGAGGTTGTTCGGCGGCTACACTGGAGTCACGTGGGTGATGACATCATCGGTTGTCGAACGGAGAGAACTTCCTTCTTAAAGAACAGGACAGGCATGAATCTGCAGACGTCTGCACGGCATCAGCCCCCCGTTACGTTCTGCGGGTGCGCCGAGAGCTCCAGATCGCCCTTGCATGGCATTGGGAATTAAACTCGGGTGGCTGCGGGCGGCTTACCCTGTCCTAGTTGCTTATGAGGTCAGCCCCCGGGGGTCCAACTTTGCTCCATGGGCTTCGTGGAACACCACAACAGGAAAACATGTTTCTCAATCACGGAGTAAATTTCGTCTATCCCAAAACACTTCCTCGATATACATATATATACTACAATCAAAACCCTCATCTGCGCATTGTCTGTTAACTAGGCGCTACTGGTACTGTACAATCGACGATTCAGATAATCATCAATCAACCCAGGAAGGGAATCCAACCAAGACGCAAAACGGCGTCAGAAATTGCTTGAAAAATGACACAGGGGCGAGGGGCGAG